GGAGAAACATTGATGTGGCAGAGACACATTGATTGGTTGCCCCCTGCACGCACCGCTGGGGCTGGGGAGCAAACCCACAACCCAGGCACTTGCCTTTGACCAGGAATTGAATCTGTGACCCTTCGGTGCACAGGCCAACACTCTAACCATCGATCCACAATGGTCAGGACGAAATAATTTCTTTTATTCAGCTGTATTTATGTTGACGATGTTACTGTAACCATTCCGGGCTGGTCTGCAAACAGCCTGCAGCCTAGACCTTGTCTCCTTTCTTACTTCATTGTGATTGCTGCTCGCACATGTCTTAGGCACGCCTCATTCTCTAAAGCGCAAGTAATTCCTTGGAGGAGGGACCGTGTTTGCTACTTCTGCATACTACCTTACGCCCATGATTCCAAGCACAATGACCAGACAAGTAAGCGAGGCTGGGGGCAGCAAATGCTTGCTGTGAAAGCCAATGATGAGTAGTTTAGGCTTTGCTGGCTACACCATCTCTGCTGCAGCTACTCAGCTCTGCCTTGCAGTGCATAGCGCAGGGCGCTGCCACAGATAGTCCTAAGTGACTGGGAGTGGCTGTGTGCCAATAAACTCAATTTACAGAAACAGGCGGCAGCTGATTTGGCCTTTGGGGCAGAGTTCCCAACCCCTGCTCTGGAGGCCCAGGTCAGGAGACTCGTGTGTTGGAAAGGATGCTAGATGGAAGCTCGAGGCTGGACTCTGGATGTGTGTGGGAATCTCCGTTTCTTCATCTGTAAAGGAACCTTCTAGCTTTGAAATCATCGGGTTCTAAGAGTGAATGTCCATATACACTGAAAGCATGACTTGGCATCACCAGAGCTACACCCTGTCGACTGTGGAGCTCTCTGCCAGCAAACTCTTTGCTTACAAAACACATCGGTGAGATACAGACCAGTAAAACTTCTATGGGCTGAGAGAAATGTTAGAAGGCTGGCAGATGCTGACTTGCGCTCCCGCCCCACCCAGCAATTCCTTCCTAAGGGTAATGCATAGAAAACAAGCACAAAAAGAAGCAACTTGCTGGTTGTTACACACCATTAGCTAGTCAATAAAAACTAGAACCCAGGAAGGACCTCATCTCACTCTGGCCTGTGTGAACTCTCTCCCAGAAACACCAGCCATTCCAACTTGTTAAACTCAGTAATAGTTCATCGTATCCTTTGAACAATAAACAACATCTTTAAAAATCAGCTTCATGTGAGATTTAAATAGATCTAATTTGCGGCTTGCATTTAAATTGTCAACTACCTCCTGCATTTCCTTTATTGATCATTTTAGTTTTGCCACAAGATAAATACCTAGGTAACCTGTCATAATTTTGCATGTAATCTCTTAATTGTATGGTGCATCTCAATATTAAACAGTGAAAAAATAAAGAATTGATGAAGTATGATGGATTTTTAATGGACTTGGATTCTTGGATTTACATTTTTACCTGAAGTAAAAAATATATATATAAGGGGACTTATCTTGTTTGGAGTTTTTGTCATCTAGAATGACCGCTTTTTCTCTAATCTCCACTTGTCCACATTTGAAGTATTCATCTAAGCCCAGCTAAAAACCACCCCCTCCATGAAGCTTTCCCTGATATGCCTGCTCCAACCTCCTGTGGTACTTAATAGGAGTCCTTTGCCGATACCAATGACAGTATTGCACTTACAGCTAATGGTCTACACCTCCTTAAACACCCACCCCCATGAGTGCAGTAAAAGTGCCTTAAATGCAGGTGTCCAAATGCATAAATCCTAGAGTACCTGAGATAATTATATCTGAGTGGATAAGAATTCAACTTTACTACTTAACCAACATTCATAAGTTGTTTCTACCCACACCCTGCAGCTATGTTATTCATCAGAGTGACATGTAACAGCACCTTCGTGTCACCTTCATTTCTTTCTGCTCTGTGCTCATTCAAAAAGCTAAAGGAACTAAGTTTTCTCATTTAACAGTTGCTTTATAGGGACCGGAAAGATTATTATGGCTGTTTAGTAATGACAGAACTTTACACTGTACATAGAAATCACCCAATGAATTTGACCTTCAATAAACAGAATCAATTTTACAAGGATCGGAGTAATCCAAAAGGACATCAGAAGGTCTGGGGTGGAGAGGCAGGGATCTCCCAAACAACACAAAGGAGCCTAGCATTGTGCTGAGGGTTCCAGGATCAAGACGAAGTATGAGATCATAGACTTCTGGAGTTGGAGTTACACTGTAGACTTTTCAATCCACTCATTCACCCTTGAGAAAAACAGTGCCATGTAGTTAAGTGAACTATTCCCGGATTTGGTGATATTAGTTAATATCACCAAATCTGGAGATGTTTAAACTGTTGAATATACCATTAGAGCATTCATAATAAAGAATTTTAGGGGATTCTATCATACTGCATGAGTTCTTGCACTCCTCCAAAGGATCTGGGCCTAGATTATTTAACATGAATATTGTGATTTCCTAGAGTCACCAAGAAAAGCACAGATTCCCCTTTTCCGTGTGTTCTTAAGGGAGAGGGGGCATCCATAGGCACTCAGGTTCATCGCTTGGTTGGTACAATATTCCATGGAGCATCATCCTGATGAGACTACATCCTTTGGCTAACAATTCTGAAGTTTGGGAACAAGAATTTAAAAAGTAACACAATTTTTAAGGGACTAGTATTTTAAAATTTACAAACTACTAAACAAGTGGGAATATAACTCCATACGCTAAAAACCTTAACTTTCTTTAGGTACAGACTTAAGGACAGCGTCACTGAGGAGGCGAACAAAACCGATTTCAGAGGAAGGCAGGCCCCGGCGGGCAGCACTGCGCACAGCATCCTGCAGCCACCCAGCCCCTATTTGACCTCTGCTTCTCTGGGGTTCAGTTTCCTCTGTGGTTTCCCCTATAAATGACCCATATAAAACAGATACAGCAGTAATAAGCTACCTCAAAGAGCTGTCCTGAGAATTATAAACAAGTAGGAAGTATCTGCAAAACATCCAATGCTGCTGTGCAGACCATGGGAGAAACAGCACAAGAGGGTCTTGCTGGACAGCACGAGACGGGTCATGTATATTATTCATGGTACTGTGCTGACCCATCCCCTTTCTCCAACTGGGAAATTCTCAGGCTTTGTCTAAGCTCTGCTTCTTTTTCCCTGCTCTTCTTTTCAGTTTCTTTTTTCTTTTTATTATTAAAATAATACTTATATATACACACAGGTAGACAGAACAGTAATCCCCGCCACCCGCCCCCCCCCCCCCAGGCATCCATCACCTGGCCACATGGCCATTGGCTCAGGGCTGACCTTATTTTAGGTAGACTCCATCCATTCCTCGTGCCCGACTCTGCGGGATCACTTTGAATCAAATCCCAGACACAGATCTTCATTTTTCATAGTTTTTAAAACACGTAAGTCATATTTCTTTGCCATCTTATTTTCTTGATTCAACATTCTTGATGTAAATTATTTGTAACAATAAAATTGAGACAACATTGGAGGTGCATTTGGGGCCAGAGAAAAATTTGGAAACAACTTAAAGAAGGAACAATGAGTGGAGGTGGAGGTGATTAAAGTAAGGAGCCTATTGGACCCCAGGCTGTTGAGGTGTCAGGAGCACTGCTCCACCCTGGAGTTGCAGCTGGCACTTTATCCTGGGGCATCAGCTCATGGAGGAGGAGGAAGAAGAGGAGGAGGAGGAGGAGGAGGGGGAGGGGGAGGGAGAAGAGGAGGCATTTCTCACCTTTCCCTGAACAGGCCGGACCCCTCCCCTCCTTCTTCCATGCATTCCTCCCACCAGTGAACACAAATCACCTTCAGCATCAAGCTACCTCCTGCTAAGCCTTCCGCAATTCCTACAGTCAAAACGTGCCTTCTCTTTGCTTTGCTTCCATAGCACTTAATTATCCCAGCGCACAGTGAGTGAGTAATAAATAAGTGAATAAATGCTTGTGCACTGAATGAATGGGACATAGGACTTACTTCGCTCTGCCTTATATCTTAGTTAGTGGTTTTCCCATCTGTCTCTCCTAGTGCATTTTAAATTCCTTGAAGAAATAATTGTGTCAAGTCAGCTCTGCGTCCCCTGCTTCCCAATGTGTTTATCTGCGCATAGTCGGTGCTCAACCAATGTCTCAGGAATAGAGCGACGCTCTAGGCAAAGAGCTCATCTTGCCAAGCGGTTGGAGGATTAAGCTTCTGGGGACTGACTTCACGTAAACAACGGGAAGACAAATGCAATGTGTAGATGTCCACTGGTTTCTTGCCTCAGGAAACAAATCTGGGCTTGTCATCATAAAAGAATTCAAGAGTGGTTTCCTCTATCCCGATGACCCAACAACACCTGCTTCCAACACCACCCTCCTGTTTTTCTCTCCTGTCCCCTCCCAAGCGAGGGCTGCGCTGAGCTACTGCCCACAGGGTGGAATTACAGGCCTGCTCCCGAGACAAAGGCTCTTTATGCTGTGTCTGGTTATTAATTAGCGGCTGGAAACTTCAGGACAGGGCCATTAACATGCTCATAAACCTTTTATTCTAAGTGTTTTCGCTTAGCCATGACTCTGATGTGACTCTCCTTATAAGCGGGATGTAGGACATTCGTTCCTTAACATTTCTGAGGCTCATTAACCACTTCGCCCCAGCAGCTCATTAACTAGCCCATTAGGGATTTCGCCTCATCCAGACACAAGTCCCTCAGAGCCTCTGAGGGCACCTAATTGGGGATGGTGTGAGGCTGGTGGCAAAGTTCTCGGGAGAGAGTAGGGCTTTGTTAGGCCTGCCCTGAGGCTGAAGTGGCGGCAGAGGGGAGCACCCACTTACCTGCTATCCTCCCAATGGGCATGGCGTGCTCCTCGGGTGGGGAGACGGAGACCATGATGTGGTTCATGTACAGGTCTTCACGATGCGACAGGTTGATGGGTTTTCCTTCCCTGTGCAGCCCGTCCTCGGAGAGCCTGGACTGTTTGAAATCCACGGAGTGCCGGGGGTTCAAGATCAGAGGGTGCATGATGGGGCTGGGCATCAGCTGGATCACGCGGGTGCTCTCCTGCCGGGGGCTGGATGGCTTCTGGTGGGACTCGGAGGACGGTGGGCAGTGATTATTCTCTATGGGAGACACCGACAGGGGGTAGGACTCCTGGTGGTTGTTTTCCTGGTGGAGCCTTGGTCCCTGGGCCCTCTCGGCTGGGGAGAGGCGGCGGATCATGTTGTCCAGGGGGGACCGGAGGGGCCGCTGCTCTGGGTCAGGAGACGGCCGGTGATTGGTGGTGATGGGTGACCTAGAGCGGTGCAACAGTTCAATGGTGGGAGGGTTGTGGTGCACGTTCTCCACGGACGGCCTCGGGGTCCTCTGGACACAGTTATCTGTGGAGCAGAGGAGAGACCATCAGAGCCCCCAGTGAGCTGCCAGGGGAGGGACCTCACTGCAGCCCTACAGTGAGCAGGGCAGGGGTGCAGTGCGGCCGCTTTTTGCCCCAGGATGCAGGGCTGTTTTCCCTGCTTAGTGCACATACTTAGAATTCTTTTCCTGCCACTAGACAGCGAAGAATGTCTACAAACATTCCATCAATCACCTGCTCGTGGCTTACAAACACGAGGAAGCCAAACTTTCATTCTTTACCTTTAACTCTGCATGTGGCTTTCAGGGTCCTTAAGGGTTTCTCTCTAGATGCTTTCACTGACTTACATTTTCATAAGCAAATTTTCATTTTTTCTACCTCCAGGAGGTATGGGTATTTAATAATAATAATAATAATAATAATAAAGCAATTACTATATCCTAGCTTCTGCATTGTACTATTTAAAATTTACAACACTCCTAAGTAGCAGATACTAACTACATTAATCCTACTTCACAGGTGAAAAAATGGAGGCATAGAGGAAGGTAAGCAATTTACCCAAGGCCACAGAGCCAGTTAGGGGGTTAGAACCAGACTCCAATCAGGTTCTAGAACCCATGTATCTATTGCAATATCTACCACTTTTCTATATACAAACCGGGGTGGAAGTAACACCTAAACCTGCTCTAAGCATGAATAGTGGGGCTAATGTACAGAATGACAATCTGATTGTACTTGAAAGAACGATTAGGATCACTCTGTTTCTGAGTGCGCAGCCCTACCCATAAGTGCTTGAAGATAGGCAGAGGTAAGTAAAAAGGAGTAGCATACCTCCACCCCATCCCACCTGAACTTTCAAGCTGGTCACAAATGAGCAAGGACAACCCAGAAGTATACACAGCTCGGCAACAGAAGTAGTTCTGCAGGCTTGGTTGAGAGAGGAACTAGCATACATTTGGCTTTGAGTCCTGCTAAGAATAGGAAGGAGATAAATCTGTCTATGAAAATGGAGCTTTCTATAGGGCCCCACACTCATCTTCATGAAGTTTTTCTGGCCATATCTATTCCCAGAACTGTCTCATTGGCATAGCTACCAGCAGGAGACTGGTTTATTAAGTTATAATATACCTCTAAATAGCGGAGGACGATATATATATATATATATATATATATATATATATATATATATATAGTAATATGCAAATTAGGCCGGGACGCTGTAACGGGTCACTACCGGACAGGAGGAGGTTGCGCATGCAGGTGAGGCCTGGAGCGGAGACGGAGACAGAGACAGGGGGCCTGCCCGAGCTGGTGCGGCGGCTCTGGCAAACCAGAGCGGACACAGGCAGGGGAGCCGGGGGGGACCTGGAGCGGAAGTCAGGCGCGGGTCCCGGCCGCCTGCAGCGCCAGTCTGGCCTGACTCCCGCGGCGGCCCATGGGGTGCCTCCTTGCGCAATTGCTGGGCCTCTAGTGTGGCTATAAAATGGAATGAGGAGTATCTCAATATTCTGCTAAGCACTGGTCTCTAGGCTCTATGGTTAGATAAGCAAAGCAAGATCAAGTATTTATGGTATGCTACCATTTTTCTAATGAAGAAGGGAATTCCAGTTTCAATAATGGCAGAGTGGCTTGTACTGAACTAACCTTTCCACAGGTAGAAATAACAGAATCTGGATAGAATACATTTCTAAAAGTTACTTGAAGGTAATGGAAAAAACGAAGGGGATTTCACTCTTGAAAGAAGGAAACTGACAGAGTGAGATACCAATTTGCAGAGCTTTTGCCCTGAGGATTGTCCATGTAATGTGGGGCAGATAGAGAATGACTTGAAAGTTGCTTGAGATGTCAGGGATTCAAGTATGGCTGCCAGAATGGCAAAAAATTGAGAGATCAAGTCTCATAAAGAGAGCTTCAGAGGGAATATCACTAAATTGGCACATAAAGTTTCCTCAAATCTTTAACATGTGCTCTGAATAGCACATGTGCTGGGGAAACTCTCTAAGGAGCTCAGTGAAAAGCAACAGCTGGATGATTGAAAGATAGGAGCAGAAATCTCAGCTACCGGCCACTGTATTGAAGACAGGATTTGGATTTTAATTTCCATTAGAAAGCTCTGTAAGTATCTCAAGCTCTGTATTAACCCAGAATGGCCACACCTTATGAGTAAGAATAGTGCTCTAGGACAAAGGGATTTACCTGATGGTTAAAGGCAAAACTGAAGCAGATCTGTCCTAACTAAATGTAAGATCAAGACTCAACAAATTCAAAGTGACTGGCTAGTTATTTAACTGCCTAGAATAAAAATCAACATCCTTCGGAGGAATCTATATACATAAAAGCCTAAGCAACCATCCGACTGTTCAACCATCTGACCCGTAGCTATGATGCGCAATGATCACCAAGGGGCAGACGCTCCAACCGGTAGCTATGATGTGCATTGACCACCAGGGGACAGATGTTCAACACAGGAGCTGCTGAGCTGCGGTGACTTGGCAGCTGCAGTTCTCGGGTGATGCACCCAGAACCAGAGAGGAGGGAGCCCAATTCCGGGTGCATCACCCGAGAACTGCCCTCTTGCAATTGGGACCCCTCGGGGGATGTTGGAGAGCGCAGGCCAGGCCAAGGGACCCCACCTGCTGGAGGGACCCCTCTCACTCCACAGACACCCTTCAAGCCCCAGCGCTGCCCAGGGAGGGACCACAGGAGGTTGGCTCTAGGGCGTGTCTGGCCTATCTCGCTCAGTCCCGCCCTGCCGACCACCTTCTAATTAATTTCCTTTCAATGTGCATGAATCCGTGCCCTGGGCACTAGTATAACATAATACTTTCGCTACAATGTGTTATCGATTGTGTTTATCTATCTTTATTGGATATCTAGTATCCAATAAAGGTTTTCTAGACATTCGAAGACCCAGAGAAGCATGATCCAAAATCAAGAGGAAAACAGACTGATAATGTAGAGGTTGAAATTAGCAAAAAAGAACTTTAAAGTAGCTGTAAGTTCAAGCATTTACAATAAATGATAATCATAATGAATGATAACGGAGATTGTCAGAAGAGAAATGGAAACGATATACAAAAAAAAGAAGATTCTAGAACTGAAAAAAAAATACAGTATCTGAAATGAAAGATTAGACTAGATGAACTTAATAGCAGGTTGGAGATGACAGAAGATAGGATTAGGAAACTTGAAGACAAATTTTAAAAAGATAAAAAATAGATCCTCTGTGACTGAAACAATATTAAATGGTAACAGACATGTAATTGGAGTCTAAGAAGGAGAGAACAGAAAGAATGGGGCAAAAAATTTTGCAGAAATAATGGCCAAATTGTTCCCAAATTTGGTAACAATGACAAACTTAAAGGTCCAAGAAGCTCAGCAAATCCCAAGCAAAATAAATACAAGAAAAGCTACACGCAGTCACACCATAGTAAAAAATCTGAAAACCAAAGAGAAAATCTTGAAAGCAACCAGAGAAAAAAAAAAGACACACTATGTACAGGGGAAGATTTATGCTAACAAGCACGTGTGCAAGAAAGATAGAGATGGAGAACTATAGATTGAAAGAGACTTAAGAGACACATCAACCACTTGCAATGTAAAGAGACTTGTTTGGATTCTGATTCAAAGTTAGAAACATTGATGAGATAGTTGGGGAAATGTGAACATTAACAGGATATTTGGTGATACTGAAGATCTATTAGTTTTCAGGTGATGTAATAACTCTGTATGATTTTATAATGGGTCCTTATCTTTTCAGACCTGTACTGATATATTTATAGATGAAATTATATACCTGGGATTTGCTTTACAATAATCTGGAAGTTTGAATCAGAGTGTACCTGGGGTATAGAGGAAACAAGAATGGCCACAATTGATCCTTAAAGCTGGTGATGGGTACATGGTGGTTCATTATATAATTCTCCCTACTTTTGTATCAATTTGATGTTTGCCTACAAAAAGGTGTTTGTTTTTTTAAGTGCTTAATCAATCTTGCAATGATACAGGTTGGGATGACAAGTACTAACTTCATACTTGAACCCAAATGCAAATAAATGCTTACAAGGTACTGGCTGGACCCATGGTATTAACTTTAATAGCTGAGATTATTAGTATGATATAAATGACCTGTAATCTTTTGGGGATGATTCTTTTCACAGCTAATATGGATCTCAACTCTGCTAGCCATGAACACTTGTCATTTGTCACAGAATATGGCCATCGTAAGCAAGTATTTAAGATAGCTGCATTTTGAAGTTTCATATGTTTTCTCCTAAATGCCATTTACAGAATGTCTCCCTTTCCTTAAAAGCTTATTAAGGTTTTAAAAATACTTAAGGATGATGAAGGCCATGTGTTGAAAAATCCTATTTCCTGAATCCATTTCCCGTCTTACAAATTGCAAAATGACACAGGCATTGGCCAGTAGTCTGGTTACCTACAAGCTTCCTTTGATGTCCTGGGCTTCAAGGCTCAGTGTATGGGTGTGCACTCAGGGCAAGCCTTAGGAAGTCTGGGAGGACTATGAGAGGAAGAGCTTTCATGCCAAGGGTAAAGGAGGAACTGATGTAATGTCCTGGAGAGATTTCACTCTCTGTTCCTGCCCAGATCATTGGGAACAATAAAGGAGGGAGATAGTGCTCTGGATAATCAACTCACATTTTACTTTTGACTCAGGATCTGGCAGCAACAGGACTTGGTGGAGCATGATTTATTTCTCTCTCTGCACACACCACTCAAAGAGGAAGTACTTGATGAAGTTGATAACATTAATGGTAGAGAACTGGATCCGAGGGTTTTAATTCCAGGCAACTGGTGGTCTGGGCACAACCACTGTCAAGGCTGAAAGGCCTGCAATGAGGTCTTCTAAGCTTTTGTTTCAGTTTGCAAAGCACGTGCCCACGGATGGAGAGGGCGATGACGTTCCTGCCCTGCTGCCTCTGTTATTATAAGTTGGCAGCAGGGTATGGAAACTTATGAGACCAGAGCCGGCAGGCAGAGAAGCTCCGGACACAGGAAATGCAC